TTGATGAGAAGAGAATGTTGTTGTTTGTCATGGACAACTATATCGACAGAGAATGATTCGTGCTTTCCACAAGAAGGTAAGAGCCAAAATGTTTGAGGTTGGTCAGTTGGTCCTTAAACGCATTTTCCCTCATCAGGATGAGTACAAAGGGAAATTTGCACCAAATTGGCAAGGACCCTAGATAGTGCGCAAAGTGTTATCTGGAGGTGCCTTGGTCCTGTCGGAGATGGATGGCACCGAATGGCCGAAACCGATCAACTCAGATGCAGTCAAGAGATATTATGTGTGAAGTTTATGTTTGTATTTTCTGTCATTTCCTTGTAATCGTTCTATTTGCTTGTAATTGCTATGTTTAGAATTTATCCCTATGTAACGAACTACGTGTGACCTGATTTCTCAAGAATGAGATACGTAGGCGGCCTAAGTCGGCCTCGGTCACTCCTTTATCCCTTTTTAATATTTCTTTGTATTTGAACTACGTTCGACCTGAATTCTCAAGAATGAGATACGTAGGCGGCCTATGTCGGCCTCGGTCGGGTTTCTTCGTAATCTTTCCTATTTTTGTTAGGGAAAAAGGATGGATTTACCCCCGAACTTTAATAAATGGTATGTGTATGCCCTCCGTTATACTTTGCGTCCACATAAGCCCCTGCCGTCCAATTATAGGTACACGTATACCCCTCTCACTAACGGACCCCTAATTTCTTACACGTGTCTTAATCTTATTGAACTACCCGTTTGACCCTTTTTTTAACCCATAACCCAGCTATCCGCCCCATAACCCAATACCCACCCAATTTCCTCTAAAAGGATCCTAATTAAAACACCCAAATTAAAACACCAAAGTCCGTCCCTTTTCCCTAGTCGGAGGTCCCCGCGTATCCCTCACACCAAAACCCTAGTCGGAGCCGCGATTTCCTCACACCAAAACCCTAGTCGTCGCCGCGATTCCAGTTTGTCTTCGTCAATTCCACCTTGTCTCGTTGAATCTTTCGTGTGTTCTTCGATTCAACTTGTCTTCGTGGAATCTATCGTGTGTTGGTCATAATTTTGTAGTCAATTTTTCATCTATCTGTCGTCTCCCTCAAATCAGACCTAAAACCATGTCAGAAAGTTCTTGTGATTCAATTAGTAACTCCAAGATAATGACTTGTTTTTGTGGCTAATTGGCTCGTTGTTTCACTTCAAGGACTCCATTGAACCCCGGAAGAAGATTTTATAGATGTTCTAAACCTAAGGTACATTTTTCGTTAAATGTAAATTAATGTGATTTGTGCTTGTATTTTGGTGATTATGAGTTCTTCCTCTGTTATTTTTATTAGATTGAAGATTGTGAATTTTGGAGGTGGGAAGACAGTTCTTCAGAAAACTCTTCTATTGAAGTTAATTTATTGAAGTCTAAATTGGAAGTTGCTACGTTGAAAATGGAGAATTTGAGAGAGTCGTTGAATGCGGTGAAGATTGAAAGAGACAATTTGAAGAAAAAATTGGAGAATTTAGAGAGTTTAAACTACTTTGAGGTGAATAAATCAAGAAATTTGGAATCTAAAGTGTCAAAGTTGAAGATGTTGTGTATATTGTGATTTACTCTTGTTTGTGGTATTTGTTGTTGCAATTTTCAAGTGATTAACTGGTAGCATGAGGAATATATGTTGTTGAATTGTAGTTTCAAGGGTTGGTTATTTCAAGTATTTGTAGTTTCAAGTGTTAGTTATTTCAAGTATTTGTAGTTTCAAGTGTTAGTTATTTCAATTGTTCCTATGTATTAGTGAATATTATGTTTGAATGTTGGTCATTATTTAGTGTAGCTATTGCTTCAAACGTATTGTAAAATTTCAAGTGTTGGGTTTGAACATTATTTTGTGTCTTTTGCCTTAAAAATTTGTAGTATTTATTTGTGTTATATTAGTCAGTATGCTGAAGATCCTTTGTCAAAAAAAAAAGTTAGTATGCTGAAGATGGATAAACTTTTTGGTATTATGTTTTCCTTGAATTTAGAGAATCTGAAAATGAAATGAAAGCTTGTCTTACCATTGTTTATGAAACGTGTTTTCAGGTGTTATTAAACTTGCACAAAGACACTATTAAACTATCAACTTGAAAGTCACTAACTTTTTTTTTAAGCGAACAAAAATTCCATTACTTATTAGACAGCATCAGAAACTCGGTTTAACATCATCCATAAAGTCTTAAATTTAAAAATCGTGCTTTGCTTGCTGTGACTGCTTGGTGATTCTTCAACTCACAACACCAACTCTGTGATTGCCATTAGCTCTAATAAATCTAGGACTTGGAAATACATTCAACATGGATGGCAATATTGCCAAATTGGACTTCTTTGGAAACCTGCGAACAGTTAGTTTGGAAACCTGTCGACCATTGACAGAGAATAAAATGGTCTAAAAAAATGTATACCACAGCAAAATACTATTGTACATCAACAGAACCCAACAGATACAAGACACTATATAACATTCACTTGGTCATATATAAGCAAAACGACAGTTAGTTTTAGCTGATACACTCAGCTTATACAAACAGTAGAAGTAAAACAGAGTACCAAAGCTACAACTTTAACTTTAAAGGCATCAGCCTACAGTACTACCAAAACATCACAAAAACATCATTTAAGGCACCAGCCTACACAAAATATACCAAAAAAATAAGTTTAGCCTTAACATCATTTACGGCACCAGCCTATACAAAACATAGAAAAAAGACAAGTTTAGCCTTAACATCAATAAAGGCACCAACATATACAAAGCTGTACCAACACAATAGCATCATCCCCTTCTTGGCCTCAACTTTTGTAGCTGGTTTGTAGTAATTGCACCCTGTCCATTCCAAGTTAAGCCAGTTGGTCCTATGGGAAGATTTGTAGGTTCACTAACACCAAATTTGTCACCTCTAAAGCGTATTACTCTACTTCCAATTGATTCTTCTGGGTTCTGTTTCTTTCTCAATCTTGTTAGAAAAGCTTCTTCTGAGATTGTTCTTGGCCTTAGCCTAGGGTCTTCATCATCATCCTCAGCTACTGGAAAATAGCTGCTGGAAGAAGTATATTCAAATTGACTTTCATGTGTTGGTTGTGGGGCTGTGCAGTTGATGTCTTCCTCAGAAGCTTCATCTTCATCAACTAAACCTCTCCTAAGTTGCCTCTTTTTTCCCTTGCCAGATTCTTTTCCTTGCTTAGCAGGTTGCTTCCCCTGCTTCTTAGTAGGTTGTTTCCCCTGCTTTGCCTTATTAATCATAATAGAAAATATAGAATTAAATAGTAAAATAGAATAATTATTTGATGAAATTAAAGATTAAATGAAAATTACCTTTTCACATCCTCTTGTATTGTGATTTTGTTCTCCACAATTACTACATGTCATCATTTTTCCTTTTCTTGTTTGCTTCCATACTCCTTGCCTCTTAACAGCTTCATCCTTTTCTCTTTCCCTCATAAGCTTAGGTCTACCAACAAGCTTGACCAATTCTGGTGGTTCAATGACATGCAAAGGATCACATTTCCAGAATGGTTCTCCCCTAACAGGTTGTAACTTGTGTTTGTAAACTGCCAATGCTGCCTCTTTACTATAATACCAATGAATTTCTTTCTTTGGTATCATTTTCTTGTGCTCCATGGCCTTAATTGCATGTGGACATGGAATTCCAGTCAGATCCCATGTTCTGCATGTGCATTTTTTATCTCTTAAGTTGACAATGTGTCTATCTGCACCTTCAGTAACCTCATAGCCATTATCCCTATTGCCACTCACCTTACAAACCTTGGAAATCTTCAAATACTGAATAAACAACAACTCACTTTTGGGACTAAATCCATCATCTTTCCACTTTCTCACAGCAACCTCTTTTGCTGCCAGCCTCTCCATTGTTTTGACCCTGATGTCTTCCAACATTCCAATAATTGGCTTGTACCTTGCTTCAAGTATCCAGGCATTGAATGATTCAGTAAAGTTATTGTCCATAGCCTGATTTTTGCACACTGTATCTAAATAAGCTCTGGACCATGTTTTGGGAGGATACTTGTTTATTAAATCCTGTCCAGCCTCTCCATTAACTTCCTTCATCTCTTGAAGTTGGTCCTCAAACTCCTCTGTAAATGATGACCATGCAGCCCACCATAGCAACTTTTTCAGCTCACCTTTACCCCATCTTTTGCACCAATTTGCCTCAATATGCCTTGCACAATATCTCTGATGTGCTTCAGGTAAGACTGTCCTTACTGCTTCAAGCAGCCCCTAAGTATCAAATTAACACAACTAAAATTAATAAAAGAAACAGTATCAAGCAAAGGAAAATAAATTGCAAATTAGTTGTATAATATTACCTTCTGCATATCTGATATGAATGTCAGTCCTTCACCATTTTGAAGTTCAAGTGAATGTTGCAAATGTTGCATAAACCATGTCCAAGTTCTCTTAGTCTCTTTATCTACCACAGCCCAAGCTAGAGGGTAGAAAGAGTTATTACTGTCTTGACCAACAACACACAATACCTGTCCCTTAGTTTTCCCTTTAAGGAATGTACCATCTAACCCAATAAGTGGTCTTAACCCAGACTTAAAACCCAACTTCATTGCCTTGAAGCAGATATACATCCTAAGAAATTTTCTCTTACCATTAGATAGTGCCTGTTTAGACAAATCTATCACAATGTCAGACCCTGTATTACAACTTCTCAATTCAGTAGCATAACCCTTTAACTTATTGTAAGAGTCTACAAAGCTACCTTCTAAACTCTCCAATACCTCTTTTTTGGCTCTCTTGCACTTTGCTTCACTTACATTTAGCTCAAAAACTCTATGTAAATCAGCCTTCATTTCTTTGACCTTGTATTTGGGGTCACTTTGCAATTTGTCCTTAAAATACAAGGCTATTGTTGAGTAATCTACTAAAGAGTTATCATATGCTGTTCCACACTCTATATGATCTACAAGTGTTTTGACACTAACTCCAGGAGTGGTCAAATCCCCAGAAATAAGAAGTAAAAATGGACAGCCATCAGCAACACATGTATACCTCAATTTTTTTTATCACTTTTCACCACAACTAGTTCTACCTTCTTAGCTAGAGCATAAAGTTTACAAAACTGTTTTGCTTCAGCTATGTCCTTGAAGGCCATACCCTTAACAATCTCCTTATAATCTTGCAAACTATCAGTTATATTCCTCTTTTTTTTAGTAACAAAATTTTCTAATTCATCTCTATCATAATCTGAACAACTAAACACCATTCCATTATTACTGTCATCTTCACTTTCACTACAGTCTGTGCCCTCATTAACAATTGGTGAAAGTAGAAATGACCCATCATGCATGATAATATCAGTTACATCAACAGACAATTCACAATCTTCAGTAGCAAACAAGTGAATAGATTTATACTCAGTAGAGATAAAAGATGTTAAGGTCTTAACTCCCTCATCACCTATTATTTCAAAATATTTCCCAGTTGGAGCAAGTACAATAAGTTCTTGCACACCAACAAAATCTAACTTATTAATGTACTCATTCACTAAGTCAATAAAAGATATTAGGTCAGGATCATACCCTTTCCAATAAGTCACACATCCTCTATCATAATGTGGTTCTGGACTGGTTAGCCACTCACCACCATGATGAAAGTATATGGTAACTTCAACCATGTTAATGACCTACAAAGAGTTATGAAATAACATAAGTAACAGTGAGTATAAAACAGTGAGTAAAAGTCACATTGAGTTAAGAAAGTCAATTAGTAAGCATAAATAAGTAAGTTAATTAGTAAATAAGTAACAGTGAGTATAAGTCACATTAGGATTAAGTAAGTCAATTAGTAAGTCAAGTTAATTAATTAAGTCACATTGAGTTAAGAAAGTCAATTAGTAAGCATAAATAAGTAAGTTAAGTAACTCACATTAGGATTAAAGTAAGTTAGTTAATTAAGTAACATTGAGTTAAGAAAGTCAATTAGTAAGCATAAATAAGTAAGTTAAGTAAGTCACATTAGGATTAAAGTAAGTTAGTCACATTAGGATTAAGTAAGTAAGTTAGTTAATTAAGTCACATTGAGTTAAGAAAGTCAATTAGTAAGCATAAATAAGTAAGTTAAGTCACATTAGGATTAAAGTAAGTTAGTCACATTAGGATTAAAGTATGTAAGTTAGTTAATTTAGTCACATTGAGAAAGTTAAGAAAGTCATATTAGTTAAGTAAGTCACATTTGGATTAGTAAGCACATTAGGATTAAGTAAGTCAATTAGTTAAGTCACATTTGGATTAAGTAAGTTAGTCACATAAAGTAAGATAGTCACATTAGGATTAAAGTAGGTAAGTTAGTTAATTAAGTCACATTGAGTTAAGAATTTCAATTAGTAACATTGAGTATTATCTCTTATTAACTGAAAGTGGTCCACAATTAACAATTAAATAAGCATTATCTCTTAATAACTCAAAGTGGTCCACAACATAAAGGCATGAATACAAACAAAAAATTCCAACAAAAATTAAAGTAGACCAAGTCAAGGGAATCTGAAACTACTTTACCAAACCAACAAATCATAAACTAAAGGTCCACAACATAAAGGCACGAATACAAACAAAAAAAAACATTTCTTTAACACAAAAACTGAAACGTGAGCTTCATTTTCTGGAAATGAAACCCTATAAAGTGTACTTCATTTACACTCTAAAACAAAAAAAAATAAAATCTTTAATCCAATAACTAGAACGTGAACCCTAGAAAGATTTTCACTATAAAATGCATATTTTACACAATAAATAAAGAAACAACAAGAAAACTACCGGAATAACAGCAACAACAAATTTATTTACTATATATGATAGCAAATCGAAAACAGCAAAACAAGAAAACTATGAAATCGAATGGGATATTTGGGTACCTTTGACGAAGACAAGTTGAATTGAAGAACACACGAAAGATTCGACGAGACAAAGGTGGAATCGACGAAGACAAACTGGAATCGCTGCGACGACTAGGATTTTGGTGTGAGGGAATCGCGGCTCCGACTAGGGTTTTGGTGTGAGGGATACGCGGGGACCTCCGACTAGGGAAAAGGGACGGACTTTGTTGTTTTAATTTGGGTGTTTTTTAATTAGGATCCTTTTAGAGGAAATTGGGTGGGTATTGGGTTATGGGACGGATAGTTGGGTTATGGGTTAAAAAAAAGGGTCAAACGGATAGTTCAATAAGATTAAGACACGTGTAAGAAATTAGGGGTCCGTTAGTGAGAGGGGTATACGTGTACCTATAATTGGACGGCAGGGGCTTATGTGGACGCAAAGTATAACGGAGGGCATACACATACCATTTATTAAAGTTCGGGGGTAAATCCGTCCCTTTTCCATTTTTGTTAATCTTTGAGGGGGAACTACGTTTGACCTGATTCCTGCTTCAACGGGATACGTAGGCGCCACAAGGGTTCGGTCATATCTCCTATAAGATTTCTATTTCTCTTTACAATAGAAACTGGGACAAATTTTTTGAGAGGGACTCAAAAATTCTCAAGAAGAAGATCTCTCCAACAAAGTTGAGACTGAAGTTACTCTTAAATTTGCAACTGGGACTGAATTTTTAAGAAGATCTCAAAATTTCCGTGATTTGCTCACGAACGGTTAAAGATGAGCCGAGACAGTTAACTGGGACAGAAATTTTGAGATGACCTCAAAATTTCAGCAAGGTTCAGCGAGAGTTTAGAGCAACTTTGAATACTTCCCAACAAGTGATCAGACAGATCTCAAAACACCAACTCCGAATGACGTTCATTAAACTTGACGTGACATGACACTTGACAGTGACTTTTTCCAAACATTACTTTTGAAAATCTATTTTCCTTAAAAACTTTTCCTTCATGTTTCAATTATTTGCATAAAAAATGTGTTTTGTCTTACCTATCAAGAAGCGAGAGATAGGAAAAATCAATTGGAGATAGCGAGACAAGGAGCAGACAACTGAAGAGATCAACACAGATCAGTTCATTTTTAAACTAACCATTTTTATATGAATGTAGGTCTACAGGGTGCCTCAAGATCGGCATATTCTTCCATTCAATGAATATGGAGAAGTCAAGGGGCAAAGAGCTCCCAAAAATTGACAATTTTTCTATGGATGCAGGAAATATTTTATGATGCTTATATCAAAGATTTTGGAATATGAATAACATTATTTCATTCAATTCCCAACAAGGCAAAGTCCATAATGAACGTGCAACTATGTTCAGAGATGGGACAAATAAAAACCTCTAAGAGAGAAATTTTATTTATTTTCCATCAACTAAAGATACCTGAAAGATATTTATCTGCATAATATTATCAGATATGATAATATTCTTACCCTGAAGGTTATTTATATCATATTGTTGAATGACAATACCACTACCCGGAGAGTCATTTATATCGTATTGTCAAATGAGATGATACCACTACTCCGAGGGTCATTTTATTTATATTGTCGACTAAGACGATACCGCCGTCCCAGAAGATACCCAGAAGATCACTTATGTTGCTCGGCGGAGCATTATCTTCGTTCGGTACCAGGGATGCATCAAGGAAAAAGATCCATGCATCGCGAGAAAAGAGATTCATGCATTGCAAGAGGAAAAAGATTCATGCATTGCAAGAGGAAAAAGATTCATGCATCGCGGGAAAATATTCACGCATCGCAGGAAAAGATTCATACATTGCGAAAGAAGAGATTCATGCATTGCAAGAGAAGATTCATGCATCGCGAGAAAAAGATTCATGCATTTCAAGAGAAGATTCATGCATTTCAAGAGAAGATTCATGCATCGCGAGAAAAAGATTCATCCATTTCAAGAGAAGATTCATGCATCGCGAGAAAAAGATTCATGCATCGCGGGAAAAGATTCATACATTTCAAGAGAAGATTCATGCATTGCAAGAGAAGATTCATGCATCGCAGGAAAAAGGAAGTCATGCATCGCGGGAAGGAGATTTATGCATCGCGAGAAAAAAGATTCATGCATTGTAAGAGAAGATTCATGCATTGCGGGAAAAAGGAAGTCATGCATCGCGAGAAAAGAGATTCATGCATCGCGGGAAAAAGATTCATGTATCGCGAGAAAAGAGATTCATGCATCGCAAGAGAAGATTCATGCATCGCGGGAAAAAGATTCATGCATCGCGAAAAAAGAGATTCATGCATCGCAAGAGAAGATTCATGCATCGCGGGGAAAAGATTCATGCATCGCTGGAAAAAGATTCATGCATCGCGGGAAAGGAATTTCTACATCGCAAGAGAAGGATTCACGCATAACATGAGAAGGAAAAATACATCGCAAGAGAAAGATTTGCCCATCACTAAAGATAAACATTGACTACATCATTTTCCTTTGCACAAACAATATCAAAAGAATTATCAACATATTACATCAGCCTATTTCTATTACTTTAACATCACATGAAGAGTACATTGAAGATAATATTGCAAATATGAGACACAAGCTTTATTTGCTTCACATCAAACTCGACAGAGTTGATGTCAAATGTTCAAGGAGAACAATTAAGTATCAACACGGTAAAAGACACTATCCCTCCATTTGAATGACATTTTTATGCTAATGATTTTTATCTTAGTCTTTGTCGAGAGCATCCAAGATGATGAATTCTCAAAACAAACCACAGGTGCGGACGACATCAATTAGGATGCAGCACAACGTGGAACTTTTTCTTAGCAGCGAACTAGGACATAGTCCAAAGAGGAGTGTCAAACTCTTAGGACGCGAGCAGAGGAGCGACTTCCACCACAATCAAACCACACCCCTATCAGAAGGAATGTGGGTTTATTTTTAGGTTTGTCGGTTTTGCATCCGGAAATTGTTGGTCTCTACCGGAAGCAACTTTCCAATCTGAGTGACAATGCACCAAGAGCCCTGGAAATTATGTCGGTGTAAGTTCTTAATTATAGGTGTGAAGTGCACCACTTTCATGGCTAAGAGGTTACAAGCCTCTTTCTCATACTCGACTTATTTGTTACTCTTCCAGAACCGAAGGTTATCTTAGCATAATAGATTTCCTTTTCAACCGATCGAGTCGAACTACAAGCAGTCTGATCCCCTAGGTTGAGGGATATGTAGGCAGGATTAATGTTGAAAACTCGGCTGTATTCCCACCATTCGCTTTTAAATCTTATTCTCGAGCATTCAGGTCCCTTCATAATTCGGTATCGAGATGGCTTTTGAATTCTTTCAAAGTCGTGCGTCAAATCAAGCATAGCGAACTACAAGTAGCCTGAATTCTCATATAGCCTGAGATATGTAGGAAACCCACTTCCGGGGTTCGGCCTTAATTCCTAAAGACCGTACCAAAAACCCCTTTTTCAGAAAGATGAAGATGTGGTCGGTCAAAATTGGATTAGTCAAATTCATTTTCCTCGAATTTCTTGTATCAATTCAAGTAAAATGAGGGACAGTTGTTGACACCTAATTTTGACCCTCCCCGATAATAATTAATTTCGAGCTTCTTAATTTTCAGATTATTTAAAATAATTAATTTTAGAAATTTTGAAAAATAAAATAAAATAAATATAATAGAATAATTTGCAAGTTGTTTCAAATAGTTTGTCACTTGTTATAATTTTTAAATAATAATATGTCTTTTATATAATTATGTATATAATTAGTGTATT